CCAATAAAATTTAATAATAAAATAATGAATTGAATCAATCAAGCATAATTATATTCAACTATTGTTTAACCATGTAGGTATGTCATTTATTACCTCTCCAGTCACCCCCCATCTCCCCCCCTCCCTACGTGTGGATTTATACACGTAAATAATTCTTCAGCTAACCAACCATTTTGCTTCGCTTCCCTCTCAGACGTTCCAATTGTTCGAGTCCTCTTTATCTTCTCCATCGATTCCTCTCCCACCTTTCGTTTCCTCTACCCCCGTAACTGAAACTAAACTGTTGCAATTGACATTAGAAAACTTCAAGAATTCATTCAAATTGTCACCAATATTGGTCAAACAGTCAAAATAACGCTTGCACTCTTGTAAATGCGAGTAATTCTACAATTAAAATTAAAACTCTATAAGAGTTTTTTAATATCCCTTAAAATGTAAATTAATTAGTAGCATTTGGCAGAAACATTAATAGTTTCAACCCATTGCATTCTTGAAAAGTTGGTAGCATGTAAGTCTAGGATTAAATTTTGATACATGGAAAATCTCACCTATCTGAAGTTAAATTTTAACAACACGGTCATTCACAAATACATGATCAACAGGTTAGATATTCTTATAACATTGCAATTTAAAAGGTAAATAAAAACTTTTATTTAAAAAAGAGTATCAGTAGGCATAAAGTTGTAAAAGATCTTCCAACATAATAAATAGCAAGAGAGAGGGATCAAATTATCCCAGATGAACTTGTAAGCTTTGCTAGAAACCTTATTCTCTCTAATATGGTTCTACAACTCTATAGAAAAATCTCCTGAAATAAAAATCTTAAAATAGGCTTTTATAATTGGGCAAGACCCCATCGGTTTTCCCTCCTTGCATTTTTTGGTTAAAGCCCTTGTAAGTTAAAAAATGAGTTGTTGAGCAACAGAAAAGCCCAAATACTAAATGGGCCTCATTGGTTTAATGGATCAAGCCAATTTGATGTGCATTTGGTGGTCTGACACTGACAAGATCATGTGTACCTATTAGCCATACCATTGGAAGTGACAAACTGCAAAGCTCCTTATCGCCTGGAAGGATTATGCCAGTACCTCCGAAGAACATTAGTATTCCTGCGAGTTTCTTAGAATAGATCTATCCAATCTCAATCTAGAAGCAAGCTTTTCCGTTCGAACTCATGTACATTGCTTGGTTTTCTATTTCATACTCGTACAAGCTGGTTTGACCTTCTCACCAAACTCGTCGGCAACTACCTAGCTACATCACCGAGCTCGATAAATAGCTCTTTGTGGTAGAAGAAGGAGAATTTATGCATGTCACCATACATAACACCATTTATTAATGGAATGATTATCCACACCAATCATGTTGTCAACAAGTCTAATCAAACTTTGTATTGCATAGCCTATAACTTAGTTTATGACTACTTTCTAGACCCTTGCACGGTACATATGTTCCTGAGTAGATGAATAAGCAAAAGGGGAAGGAGTGGGAGCTCTCACTCTCTCTCTCTCTCTCTCTCTCTCTCTCTCTCTCTCTCTCTCTCTCTCTCTCTCTCTCTCTCCCTTTTCTTCTCTCAAGCCCGGACCCTCGAAGTACTCTGTAAAAAATCTCTCAGTTTCTTCTCACTCCTTTAAGATCACTCTTGAATTATATGAGTTCATGAATTATAGAAACCTCACATCCTAAAAGGATTTAACATCCTAAAAGGTAAAGTGAGCGCTTAACTCATTATCAAAATTGAGTCAGGTGATCTTATATTTCAAGATGAGGAATAACAATTGAGTAGAGAGTTCGTGATGCACTGTAAAGTTCGTGATGTCGTAGATGAAGGAACTTAGGAAACAAATGAATAAGAGAATAGAAGAAGCAGGGCAAGAGATATCCATAAGCCATTGTAAGATCATTTGGAATGTCGTGCGAGATCGTCAAGTTTTGTGGTAAGCAGGCAAAATAACAGAGGGGTCAACCACTTGGAGAAGAGCCACCTTGGGTTAGGGCAACGTGAGCCCTAGATTCGACATTAGAGGAAGTAGAGGAAGATGACGATGATGCATTTTATATTTCCAAACAAGAGACACTTGAGTCCTCGGAAGACGAAGGAAGAACATCAGGAAGAAAGAGAAGTTACTAAAGAATCTTTTCTTTTGAGAAATTATTGAAACCAAACCCCCCATAAGGCTCAAAATTCTCACTCTTGACTCTTATAAGGGAAGAAATAATCCTATCGATCATATAGCCTCTTTTGAATCATCAAATTTTCTATTATGACCTTTCAATAGGTGTCATCACTTTATTTTGAGAAATTTAAATGAGTATTCATAGCTCAGTTGTCAGTGCTCAGAAGTCACAAAAAAAAAAACTTAGGCTTTATTATGAATTTTTTGAGAAGCTCCATTCAAAAGCTTTTGGAGTTTTATTACTAGATTCCAATGTGAAATGCTTGAAGTTAAAAATCTTGGACCTTCTCCTCGCTTCAATTCCTTCCAGATTTTGCAGTCATTCTATAGTTGTTCTCACTTGTTTTTTAATTGCATCATATCATACTTTTTTTTTGTCCTCTCCTTGAATTTTCTAATAATATTTTGTCACTTTTCTTTGTTGAAAAAGATTGTCGATTTATTTCTTAGTTCAATCTCCTTGAGGTGAAGATCATAAAATATTAATATTGTCTCTTTATCTCACATTGCAGCTAAACCAACCTCTTTTGTCTTAGGCATTGGATTATTATCACGAAAAATGAATATTAATATAAATAGGAATGCTAAACCATACCACCGCACACTCCACCAGACCTCCACACCTCCAGGCACCCCATCACACCACAACAGCACATCCACACGCCACAACACCACACACACCCCTACACCTCCACACCTCTACACACCCCGCCACAATAGCACATCCACACACCACACCACCACACCACCACACCTTACATTAACAGCTGAACCACAACACAACATCGCACCACACACAACACAACACCACACCATAATATCAAACCACACACCACCACACCACACGACATCAAACACACCACCACACACCACTACACACATTACCAAATTGGCATTCATTGAATACACAATAGTCAAAACATGGCCACTCACAAATCCAATCTCAATTTATATGCATTTCAAATATCAAAGCCAAAAAAATAACCAAAAAAATCATCAAATTTTTGAATTCACAAATTCTAAGAATGAACCACCAAACAAGCATCATTCACATTGCTATTCCCAGTTGCATAAAACAAAACCGTTAACGGTTTCAGAAAACTGAAATAAGAGCCAAAGCCGCTCCCCCTCTCCCATTAGGCCTCCTTTTCTTCTCAAATTCTCACTCAAATATCAAATTTTCACTCAAATCCAACATCGAACTCCCACTCCATCAAAATAGAAGTATCGTCAGCTGCCAACGCCCCAATTCCGAATGTAAAAATCTCAAAAAAGCATAAAATCTCAAAAAATTGGTGTTACGCACAAAACACAAGAACTCATCAAGCAAATGCACCAATAAACTATGTACAAACCAATACGGCTAACAGAGCAAATCCACCAAGAAAAAAAAAGGGATCATTGATACTAGATAAAAAGGTAAACGTTGAAAAACCCTCGTCATCGGTGTCGGTGGAACGAGGAGAAAGAAAATGAGAAGAAATCGTATAAGTCGAGCAAATGCGGGGCAATGACGAGCGGGATGAGCGGGGCATAAAAGAAAACACGAGAGCTCTGAAGCGATTAGGGTAGATGACACGAAGTCGGGGTAGAATAATATCGTGAAGCCGTGGGGTAGTTGATTAATGATATCACGAAGAAACATGAGTAGCAAAGTCCCTGCGTTTTCATTAAAATGCCGAAAAAAGCCGTCGAGGTGCCGCCCCCCTAAACGGGGGTATTAATCTCTTATCCTTTCATTTTGTTATTCTTTTTGTAGTATTCTTTTGAAGTGCTAAAAAAATTGACGAACTAAATGTATGTCCAAAAATGAGTTGTTGAACAACAAGAAGCCCAAAATTAAATGGGTCTTATGGGCTTAATGGATTAAGCCCATCAGTTGTACATATAGTAGTTTGGCCTTTACTAGATCTATTACTCCTTAGTCATAGTTTTAAAAATGACAAGCTGTAGAGCTTCATATCATCCAAAAGAATTATGTGAGTACCATCAAAGTATGTTAACATTCTAGTGACTTCCTTAGAACGAGTCTACGTTACCTCGATCTTCAAATGAGATCTTCCATTCAAACTCTGGTATGCTGCCCGATTTTCTATTCCATGCTCATAGTATGAGCTAGTTGAACCATCTCACTAAGCTGGCGGACAACTACCTTGGTATATCATTGAGCTCGAAGGATAGCTCTCTGAGAAAGAAGAAAGAAAATTATCGTCCATCAACATAAATACACTCATTTATTAACGGCATGAAAATTCACACCAACAGTCTTGTCAATGAGTTTGATCAGATTCTGTACTACATAGTCTATCACCTAGTTTTATGATTATTTTCTAGGCCCCTACTCCGGTACATGGTTTCCACTGTATAGAAATAAGCTGAGGGGGAGGGGGAGCTCTCTCGCTTTTTCTCTGTTTCTCTCTTATCCTCTCTCAAGTTTGTGCTCTCCAAGAACACTGTAAAAAAAACTCAGGTTCTTCCCACTCCTTGAAGCTATCCCCCATACTGTACGAGCTGGCAAATTATTTGGGATCTCCTGTCTCAAAAGGATTCAGCAACCTTCGTGGAGCATTAGTCTCATTTTTATTCATATGTGTGGAAGTCTTGACCAATCAGAAAAAAGATGTTTTAATCAATCAGAAAAACAATAAAAAAAACATAATCTCTTAAAAAAAAATTAACTCGCAATAGGTTTAATCACAAAATGACAAAAAAAAAAACTGAAAAGTTTTGGATGCTGGCATCTAATTTCTTTCTTTCAATGCCCCGACCAAATTTACGGTCATCAACATGAATACTAACTGTTCTTGTTTTCGCTTGACACAGAATAGTCAACAGGAGTACTTGAAACTTAAATCCAGAGTAGAAGCCTTGCAAAGATCGCAGAGGTAAAACACGTCACACGTCGATCTCTTTATCCCCATTTTCAGATTCTCTAAGAGAGGATTAGATAATGCTAAAAATAAGAAAGAAATAGCAGTGTTAATTTCTCTCTTTCCTCTGCAACTCTAGAAATTTGCTTGGGGAGGACCTCGCTCCACTTAGCGGCAAGGAGCTCGAGCAATTAGAGAGGCAACTGGACTCCTCTCTTAAACAGATTCGATCAACACGGGTACGAACTGAGCGCATTCTTTACTAAAGATATCAAAATCAACCAAGAATAACATTGATATTTAAGAAACTTCTGTATTGATTTAACAGACGCAGTTCATGCTTGATCAGCTAGCCGACCTTCAGCGAAGGGTAAATGTCTAAATACTATGAACGGTCTCACCATCTATGTATCATGCTAATTAAGACTTACAAGCTGTCATCATGGCTGACAGGAGCAAATGCTTTGCGAGGCGAATAGAGCCCTAAAGATAAGGGTAATGACAATGAAGAAGCGCCGTTTCTCCAAAATTTCCTTCAAACTTTATTAAATAATGCAATTTTTGGATATTTAATTTGTATTTTTATGAGAGCAGTTTGAGGAAGGCAGCCAGGCGAATCAGCCGCAGGTCTGGGATCCCAGCAATACGCACGCCGTAGGATACGGGAGGCAGCCTGCTCAGCACCATGGAGAGGCGTTCTATCATCCCTTGGATAGCGAACCGACATTGCAGATCGGGTAAGTCATCGCTGCTGTCTTACTCGCAACAAGACTCTCCATAATCTGAAACCCAAGATCGCCACAGATTTTAGAAAGATTTACATACTCACCACTCAATTCCTATGTAATTGCATATTTAACACCCAAACTTTAATTTTTACATATATTCTAATGCTTTAAAAAAAGGCAGTTCACCCTTTTTTTTAAAAAATCAAACTGGTGGTATGAAAGTTTAGATGATATAAATGTTAAAAATATAAAATTTAAGTGTTAAATTTATAAATACAGGAATTATGCGGCATGTATGTAAATGCCCCATTTTAGTTCTTGATTGCGTTTGGTAATTTACCTGTTTCACACGTACTGTTTATATGAATAAATCAAGATTCTGGAGTCAGCTAAAGAATTGGCCGACAAGGGGCTAGGCATTATATTTTTCTTTTACATCATTCCTATTTCCTGGTCATCAAGCTGGCATACTTTTATGGGGGTATTTACGTACAAAACCACATAATTCTTATGTATTTACATATTTGCATGCATGACAATCAAATTTTTAATATAACTTAAAAATTGTCATAATTACTAAGTTCTTAAAAAAAAATATTGCAACATAAAAATGATATAAACATAAATGTCAAACTTTAAATGGTAGATATATAAATATATAATGTACATAAATTTCTCTATTTCTATGTGAGCAATGACGATTTTTAAGAAAATGCTTAATACTATAGATTGCTTGCATATTTACAACACCCGAACATCATCATTTCTTAGACGTAATTGAAGAGCAGTCTTTCGCAAAATATCACCACACAGCCTAAACACATTATCTTATTTTATTTAAACAGGTATCATTCTGATATAACGATGGCAACGGCGACTACTTCAACAGTTAATAATTACATGCTACCTGGTTGGCTTGGACAAATTTCAGGCTCCTACGAGTAGCTACAAATTTCTGGCTTTCCCCCTTACTACATTATGTATCCTAGAACTTTATTATTATTATTATTTTGGGCTTTTGTGTCGATTTCTGGCTCTTTTATTCTATTTGAATTTTGGGTTTTTGTGTCGATTTCTGGCTCTTTTATTCTATTTGATTTCCTCAGGGTCATAATTATTTAAAATTCTTATCTATAAAATGCCGTAAACAAGTGGGTGTGTGATAGAAGACGGGTTTTGTTTTCAGATTGCTTCCTTTGTTATCAGTTATTTCCAGTTGTTAGATACGTTAGCCCGGTATTTAATAAAGGGTTTCATTTCCTTAAATATAAGATATGTTTATCTGTTTTTTCTTAAATAGAAATTATTCAAGCATAACGGGTGTCTAATTTATTAGAAATATTATTTAGCTCCTGATAATGTCTTTTTATGAATTTAGCTCAAGAAAAGTTGTGCTATCAACACTAACTTAATCATTAGCTTAAGTTTTTCTTTTGCTAAGATATTTCCATAGCTGAAACTTAGTAATTTGATTTGGGAGTAATTTTAAAAAAAATTGTAGTAAAAAAAAAATTATAATTTATGCATGTTTCATTTTAAGTTTCTATGCTTGAGCTTGATGAAAAGGTGAAATAAAAGAAGTGAAATAGAAGTATGAATAAACTTAGGTTATGTTTATTGATTATTTGATTAAATCCTACAAAAGTGAAATTGCCTTATTTTCTTGAATTATTAGTCGATCAAAACACAATTAAAGAACTTTAATATTGAAATTGGTCTAATATCATAATTAATGAGATTCATGATCCAAATTGATTCATTGTGGTTTTTGATGTTGTCTTGCCAATCAACGATCTTGCAAATTTACAAGCAGGTAACTTCACTATAAAACTTATTCATTCATTTCCTTCATTTTCTTAATAATACAAAAAACTACTGGTAACAATATTGTTGATATTTTGGTATTGCAATAGAAAAGTTCATCAAACCTACTATCATTCTAGTTTTGTCTCAACTAGGCTTTGTAGGGGAGCATGTTTAAGACAAATTAATTCTAATACATTTTACAATATCCAATGATGACAAATTGTTGGCATCCTTGATGCCTTCAATCATAAGTAGAAGGATCAATGTTGTAAGGATAAAAAGAAAATGCTTGTGAAATGCTCCTATTATTCTTGATCTTCTACCCATCTCATGTTATATGATTCATCAAAATTAGAAATAGAGTATGGCTATATCTTAGCCCTCCATGTTCGTGTTTTGGTCTAACTTTTGTGGCATGCTTTTTGTAATTATCATTTTAGTAATTATAATTATTTTTTTTAAAATCAAATAAAAAAATAAAAAAGAAAATTTTCATTTTTTCATATCTTATATTAGATAGACTGGATGAAATTAATTTCAATTAATTTCTATATGATTTTATTGCATTATTTTTGTTAAATGAAATAGATAATTTTATCTTAAGCATTAATTTCTTGGTTAATGAGTCCAGTAACATAGATTTTACTTGCACGTGTTCTATAAAAATCTATCTACTTCAAACATTCTCCTTAATAAATAGAAGTTTGATTTAATTTCATATAACTATTGTTGTTGGATTAAAACACCAAAGTTATCATAGTAAATCTTTATTGACAAGTCAATGTCAGCTGTGACATGTAATCCGAAGACAAAGGTTTAGCAGTGATATCCTATCATTATAAATAATAAATGTTTCAAAGAAGCTATGAGAGTTTGATTGGTAGGATTCAAAGATATATCTCCTCCAGTTAACATGATTACTCAGTCTAAAGTGGAACTCTTGTTATCCTAGCAACTTGCACTATTTGAGTTGGGGAACCTAATGACCCAATTTTTTTTAATATTTGATTAATGAGCGTATACTCTTTTATTCTCCTCGAACAATTTATCACATCTTTCCTACTTTCCAATGTTTTTTTTTAATTCTACTTTCCATTATTGTATGCTAGGATCACTAAACAGTTTGCCTAAAACTCTCACAAGAAAAATCGTGTGTGAATGGGTATAAACTCGAGCAAACATTAAACTTCTTACAATTAATACATAAGAAATTTAGGGTATCTCTTCATTCAAGATTATTAATAGGAAATTGTTTAAGACTAAACTTATCTCCATCAGCCACAGTGCATCTCTTAATTTACTATCATTCATATAAATTTAGTTAGATCATTATCATTATAACTCATTTATGGTAACCCAAAGATACCTCAATCAATATTTGTAGTATCTCATTTCTTATAAAGTTTCACTTGAATCTTTTATTTTTACTTTCTTCATCAGAAATTTCATGGTTTCATGTAAGAAACTTATATCCTTGCTAGCAGTAGAATATCATTGACATATAATATCAACAAGATATATTTACTTCTATTAAACCTATGGTATACATAGCCATTAATAATTTTTGCTCAAAATTGTATAACATGATAACTTAGTTGAACTTGCATGACAACTAATAGAATGCGAGTTTGAGATCATAAATGATTTTTTTTAACTTGTAGACCATATACATTAGATCTCAATGCAGATTTGTTTTTATTTTATAATACAAATCATCTCGTCAATATGTTGTTTGAGAAATGTAGTCTTGACATCCATCTTATATATTTTTAGATGAAATATGGCACCAATATCATTATATTTATTAAAAAATCTTTTTAATAAATGTTAAAAAGAAAGTTCTTTTCTAGTTTATGCCTTCTTACTCAATATTAAATCTTTTAGCATGTCTTATATTTCTTGACATTACCTTTTGAATCCCTCTTATTTTTAAAAATCATTTTATAACTAGAGGCTTCATGTCATTACCTTTTGAATCCCTCATATTTATATTGATTCCATGGGGAATAAGTTGTGTTTATAAAAGATAATTGATATATGAAATCTCAAATATCATTATCTTTTATGGACACATCTTATTTCCCATGGCATCAATATAAATATGAGAGTTAGAAAAACACAAATCTTGAAAGAAGTTAGTTGAGTCTTCCTCTATTAAACCAATGCCATGATAATGTTCTTAGAGAAAGATATTGTAATCGCATAGAATAAATTTTTTTCTCTAGCGTATCTTCATAATGGAAAGTCGAGGTGAAAATTTTTAGTTTGTTTTATCGATGTTGTAGAGGTGTGAAATCTGGTCTACATATTACATTAGGTTCTAACTTTAAATTGACATGACTTGAAACAACTTAACCAAAAATTTGCTCAAATAATAAATTTGTTAGAATCTTAACCCCAACTTAATCCAACTTCAACTCACTTGACCCAGACTTGATCCTAATAAATCATTTAAACTAAGAATAAGAACTATTTAAGTCAAGTTTGGGTTATTTTTAAGTTAATATTGGGTTGGCAGATTAGCCTACACCTGACCCAAAAATTTAAATAAATTAGAATTCTAGATTTAAACCTAATCCAAAAAGTAGTTGAGTCAACCTAAACTCAAATTTTTTAAGATAGGTTCAAGTTAGGTTGGTTTGATAAGTCAATTTTTAACACCCCTAAGGTGGTGCTTGAAAAAGAGTTTTATTAGTGTTTTTATTTTGAATAATGTTAAAAGTAGAAGAACAAATTATTTTTTTTTATAAATTTAGGAATAGAAACTTGTCAATCATCAATGAGAGACACTTTTTCAAAGGCAACATTTCTTATATTTTTTTTTCTAACTCATTTGAAAGAGGGTCTTAATTTTTTTTGTAAAATATATTACCCTAAGATCATTTAGTGTAATCAAATAAAATAATCACCAACCCTTTTGGGTTACGCCTTATTTAATGTGGCCCATAAGGTTGTGCCTCGATTGTACAACCCCAAATATGCAAATGATAAATACCCGGCCTCTTGTCAATCTGAATCTCATAGGGGGGTTTGATAATTTTTTTTTTTGCTTGGTACTGCACAAAGAAAATATATAGTAGTTTTTAAAGTTTCTCCCCATAGTCTTTTTAGTAAGAATGGGCCAATTACACTTCTTACTAAATTCTTGAGAGCCCAATTTTTTTGGTGTCGGTAATATCATGTACACTCCATTTATAATGTATTTAAAAAAAAATCCAATCATTAAAAAAATAATGAAAGTTCATAAACATTATCATCCAAATTTGTCTAATCTCCCACAATACCACCATCACGGTCCACTTTGATAACCTAAATTTTTTTTTCTAAGTTATAGTTCATCTTCAACTTTAAAATTCTTGAAAACATGCATGGATTCAGAGTTTTCATATGTCAAATATAAGTAATTGAACCTTGGGTATTGTTTGTGAACATGATGAAGTTTTGTTGTTCATTCCATATAGTTTTGGTAAATATGTCACATATATAACTATGTACAAGTTTTATGACATTTGCAGATCTTTTTGCACCTAATTATTTAATATTTGTTTGCTTTCCTATGTTCTTCAACATTATTTTGAGAATCTATTAAAACTAGGGTTTCAATAATTTTGTCTGGCATATGAATTATTTACTCACTATTATGACCTAAATAATTATACCATAAGATTATGAAATTCTCACCTTTTTTTTATAATATATGAACATAATTGTAGTACTTGTTATAAAAACAAACAAAATCATTCAAATGAGTCAAAATATTTTATAAAAGTTATCCTAAACATTTATATTAAAATGAAGTTATTGGTCCTAAAATCTATTTTGAACAATTTTTTGACATACTCTTTTAATACAATATTCTCTGTTTTTAATTTACCTACATCTTATCATCCACACTCTTTTAGCACAAAAAACTATCGTTTTACTTTACCTTCATCTTATCTTTCATAAGAATTAAAGTTAAATCAAATTCATAACATTGAGCTCTATTTTCAGTTTGATTAGTTGTGTCAAGCTCAAACGCAAATCAATTGAGTATCAAGCTTGTCTTTACTCTAGCTTGAATCAATGAGGGTTGAGATCACAAATGATAACAAATTTAATGGAAAAAAATTTATCTTAAGTTGTTTCTTGAAGTATTTCTCATGATTTACACATGATCTTTAATGGTGAAAATCGTTTATTTCACTTATGATTCATAATTTATACAAAATTTATATTTTTGCAAAATTTGCAAGATATATGTGT